GACAATTGGAAAATAGCTTCTGCTGTCATGGATAGTTATATTGGTGGATATAAGTTGTCTTCAAAATGTTATTGCTTCTTACTGTTGGTTTTGGGCCTCCCTGTTACAAATGCAAGAAGATTTGACAACCATTCATGACACCTATTCTTTATTTCTGATTGCTGACACATTTCTTAAAAGAAAGCAAATACCCTGAAAGCTATATTTCATGGAGCATCCATACCTTACGCACACACCAAACACACGATAGGCATAATTGATGACTAATGCATATATAATGGTGGTCATAGCTTTCTTGAGTAAAATATCAAGCTGTAATACATTAACACTGCATACTTTTTGGACCATTTTCTGTTTTTGAGCTTATGTTTAGAATCTGCTAATCAACTGCTTTAATGTCTAATGTCTAATTTTGATGCCTTGAATTTCTTCCTCTAACTTAGATTTCTTTTCATCAAATTCAAATCTCAGTGTCCTGAATCAGTGCATTTCTTTTCTTCTTCTTTTTTTTTTTTTTTTGGTTTTTCTGTGGCTGTTAACTATATATGTTGCAATTTCAGAGGCTCTTTGCGTTTCTCCATCAGTTTTGGCAGCAGGAGTTGCTGCAGATAATGTTATTTGTGCTATATACTTTGTGGTGTTGTTTGCATTAGGCTCTAGAATAGCACCTGAGACTCCAACATCAACCAATGGTAAGTATTATTGAGTTGATGCGTTGACATCCTCGATACATTTACACATTTCTTTAACTTCCCTGTTGGAATTATTTACCGTGTGTATCATTTTCTGATTTCTGTACGATGCACTTTAGCTGGCTGCATGCACTGGAACATTAAAACATGCAAATCAATTAGTTTTCCATTTTGTAGCTATCCTCTAGGGTTCTAGATTCCACTCTCACAGTTTAATCTAGAAGAAAAACAAATTCAAATGTGGATCATTTTCTTACAAAAAAATATGGATATTGTTGTTCTCACAATATGCAACCTTTCCCCACTCATTAAAACTTTTGGCAGATTATGAAATGAATTCAGAACCCGATTCTGGAGGCAAGATCCCTGTGCTTCAGATTGCCACAGCTCTTGCGGTGTCCTTTCTGATATTAAGACTGCCAGTTATCTCACGAAAGCTTGACAAATTCAAGGGGGAATCTCAACTGGAGTAACGGCAATATTATTGTCGTTTTGGCAAGTTTGTTCCCAACATATTTGAGTCATCTTGCACCTGCTGGTGATGCAGTAGCTCTGGTCCTTACGCAGGTATCTTGAGTCAATTTTTGCATAATTCAAGATTAATTTTTCTGGAGTCATTTTAATGCTGGCCCTAAGATTTAAATTTTAAACTTGACCTACAAGATGATATTTGTTTATCAATACATCCAACTCTTGAATTTGTTTATATAACTCCTTTGATTTGCTATGAATCCATCTTCACTAGGAGTATATCGTTAGTCTAGCAATTGAGCTTATGAATCTACTGTAAAATCTGACATCTTAAATATGGTTTTTTCCCTCTCCATCAAATATATATATATATATATATATATTTTTTCCTCTTCTCAGTGATTTCCTATATGCTAATTATAAATATTTCCATTTCCTTCCCTGTACTAGCGTTAATGCATAAGACTTTACCGCTACGGTGTTTCAAGTTGTAGACCCAAATAGAAAACAGCATTTATTCTGGTAGCAAACTTCCTATGCTAGATATCGCCACTGCTCTGGCAGTATCCTTAATAACATGCAAAGCTGCCATTCTTCTCAGCAAAGCAATTTTGGCATTCTAGGTGGTCAGGGATGGAGCTTAACAAATTTATAGGCAGAATGCCCAAGTATGCTCCGAATGTAGGACAAGAGACGGATACACTTTCAAACAAAAAAGAAAAATAAATTGAATCACAAAGTTTTTTAATTTAGACAAATAGCGTTATCAAATAAGTAGGTTAACTTGGACTTTTAAAACATTGTGGACTATTTTTGCTTGCTGGACACTCATGTGGAATCATTCCTGCCTATTATTAACTAAATAAAATTTTCAAATCCCTTCAATTTCACAAAATCATGCCACTCCCTAACTTTCCTTTCCCACACCTCATTTTCAAATTAGGTCTGAACGAACTTGAAATCAAGAACCCGTCAAACTAAAACAAAGGCCAAAAAAAAGGGAAAAGCAAAAAAGGGAAAGAAATAAGAGCAATAATAAGATTTAACCATCAAACTAGAATGAAGGTTAAAAAAAAAAGGTTAAATATCCTTTTTGGTCCCTCTACTATAGGAAAAAGCCCCTTTTTGATCCCTGTACCGAAAAAATCCCTTTTTTAGTCCTTACTGTTCACAAATCCAACCCCTTTTTGGTCCCTCCGTTAATTTTTGCTCACGTGTAACGTTAACTTAACTGAAACAGCTAATGTGGATATGCCAACAGGTAAAGAATGCTTACATGGACCCCACATCATCATCCACGTCACCATCCACGTGGACTCCACTTCCTCCGACCTTTTTTTTTTTCTTTTTTTTCTTTTTTTTCCTCTTACCCCGCAGGCAAACCCAGGCTCTCCAAGAGCCTGGGTTCCTTGCAGGCTACCCATTGCGAACCCGCGAGCTGGGTTCGTCGCAGGCTACCCAGCTCCTGGGTTCGCGAGGAACCCAACTCCTGGGTTCGCAAGGAACCCAACTCCTGGGTTCGCGATGAACCCAGGCGCCTGGGTTCATCGCGAACTCGTGAGCTGGGTTCCTCGCGAACCTACCATGGAATGCATCCTGAAATTTTAAAAAGAATTGGAATAAAAGACACATATCCAACTCAAAAGACAATATCTTTCACCTCAACAACTCAATCTCTAACCATAGACATGAAGCATTGCCTAAAATCATCACTAAAATTAGCACCCAATCCAAGCAAATACCTTCAATCCAAGCAAATACCATCAATCGATAAATTGACTAAATGAAATAGAAA